TTTAAGCACAAGTTAATGAAGAGTCTTTCAGACACAAGCACTTTCTGCTCCTCACCTCGCTGCTGTGTACTTACGTTTTCTCATACTCCAGGGACACATTGCAGGTAAGAATATAGGCATCTTCCACCCTTTTCCTCATGTCAGGATGGCGAGCACCATGATCCAGAACCAGCCCCCTGATCAGCCTGGAAGATTGAAAACCATTCTGTGTGTCAGTGGATGCACAGGAAGATACGAATTCCATGGAAGTGCAGGCTAGTCAGAATTAAGGAACTGGTCCAACACGAAGTTGTTTTGGGAGTAAACAAGGATTATGTGTTCCCCTTCCAAGGGCATGCCCATTCCCATATGAAGAGCACACCAAGCAGAGTGAAAAAGGAATTTGCTCTGGCATGGTGTCTGACTGCATTAGCTACTGAGGAAAGCTAGTGCAGAATTCAGCCATGCCACTGAGGTAAATACAAAGCCTATGGAATAGCCACCCAGATTACCACAATCCAGCTGCCATTTATCAGATGCTATTTTGTATTTAACAGATACAAACCTAAAGAATAACCAAGCCACAGACACGATTACTAAGGCAGAAAAGTCTTTATGTTGTGTAAAAGCTTAAGCCAGTGCTGCTCTTTGCTATTCGAAAATTTCATCGGGGAATGAAGTTCAGTGACTGACAAACTTCTCCTGCTGAGATATTTATGGCTGAAATCTCTATTTCTGCCTTTCTTTCAGCCCTTCCCTAGTAATTTTTCCAGTGGTAGCCCAAATTCTCTGAAAAAGAAACCAAGACTCCTACAGACCACTCAAACCTCAGGGAAGTTCAGGGACACTCCCGACTCACGTTGTGTCAGTCTCTGATTTGTGCTTCATCTCCATGATTTCCACCATGAAGAGGTCGATGGGCTCGTCTGGTTTTCTGACTGTCAGAACAGAATCTACGACAGCCTGGAACAGAGCGGGGGTGAAACGGTGACAATGCCAGCACTTTAAAACCTGGAGCTCTTCACACAGAGAGGGCAGGGGAGACCTGGGCACTCACCTCTGTCAGGATGTCAGCAAGCTCAGCGTGAACTTTAGTACGGAGGGACGTTCTGGCAACATCTATGAGGGTCTCCCTGTCCATCTCCTTGGTCACTTTGACCTGCTCCAGAACTTCAAGTGCTTTTTCCTTTGCAATCTCAAATCCTTCTGCTACTATTCTAGGGTGCAAGCCCTTATGCAAGGGGATAGAGAAGTCATTAGACCACTGAAGACAAAATGGGACTTTTTTCAGAAACAGAGCCTGTGGTTTCAATATTCCATGTAATGTCAAAACATAGGGAATATGCATGCTGCAAAGACAAGCTGTTCTGTCCTTCTGAATACATATAAAAGGAATGCAAATCCTTTCAATGCAGAGGAAAAGTACAGATTATTCTAGCACAGAAGTGAAACCAAGGGAACTACAAAGCACACTTGGGTGTTCACTGTGCAATATGAATGTCTACTCTTAACACTCAAAAGACCTGCCCTCAGGGAGGATCTCCTTTTTAACACCAAGAAGTGTTTTTACTCAGGCAAAACAAAGTAACAGAAGGTATCACACAAAACCTTATTAAAAGCTACAGTATCCACGATAAGTGGGTTTGATTTTGAACAAGTTTTAAAAAGTCCTCCTCTCCAGCTTTTCCCTTTTTACAAATTCTTTGATGCACTCTTTTTAAGCAGAAACACACGTTTATGTTTCTCTAGTATTAAGCATTAAACAAAACAAGCTGCAGGGTCTCAGTGAAGCTTTTAGCTCGCCCACCTGCAACAGGAACACACTGCATACACACCTCAGAAATATAGAGATCTGCCTGCTTTAGGAGCTCCCCAATGATCAGGACATTCGAGGTGGTGCCATCTCCAGTGATGTCATCTTGCGCCGTTGCTACTTTTGCTATCAAGGAGGCCGTGGGGTGTTGGATTTGCTAGACAAAAATAAGAAGCTGAGCAGGAAGTCTCACTGCACTGGTACACACAGCAACAACCTGAGATCAGCTGACAGAAAGTTCGTAAGGACTCGGTGATGTTTTAATGGTTTATGTCAATTCAACATGTTTCAAGCAGTAACATCATTTAACAACAACAGTTCTAAGTTGATTGAATTTGCCCAGAGCCAAATTAGTCCTCACTGTGAGCTTGACAGAGAAAGGGTGCACCACCATCATATCCAAGCTGCTGCTGGCACTAAATCCATCATGTTTAGAGCTAATTTAGCTATCTCTGCATCATCAGTGCTGTACATATCCTAGCTTGTTTGGTATGTACTTGCTACTAACTTGCTACTCCTTTGGCTGTTTATTTTATCACTATGAAACCAAAGAACACTCAATGAGTTTGTCTCTTTCCAGTTGCTCTGCTGAGCAGCCCATTTGCTGCTGGAGCCCTGAGCACCGTGCCTGTCTGTCCACTCTCCACAACCACCACACGACTTCTGTTCACCTCGAGAAATCAGTCTTTTGGTCTTTTTTGTATCACTTGGCATCACCAGTGGTTGACTGAAGGGTATTTTAACAGGTTAGATGCCCACAAACCTACAACGGTACCCACATTTGAGTGCTTAGTAACTGTACTACAGCGAGATAAAACCCAATGGGACTATTTATGGTGGCATTTAGCTTTTTATCACTGTTTTCTTTACAGTACTGCTTTAGCATGAAAGAACCCATTTAAGCTGCACTTAGTCCTTTCCCTTCCTCCCAAGGGACGTTTTGCTCTCAATGCACAGGGGCAAACACCACAGTGGGGGCCGTGGTCCCCCCTCAGCCACAGGCACTCACTGGCCCTACCAGCAGGCTCCTGCCTCCCTGAATTCCCTCCCCGGCGAGGCTCAGCAGCCGCTCACCATCTCCTGCAGCAGCACGTTGCCATCTTTGGTCAGCTTGATGTCTCCGGAGCCCGACACGAGCCTGCGTGGGGGACCCGGGGGGGTGAGTGGCGCCTCGGCCCCAGCACACGTGCGCGGCCAAGGGCCCCACCCACCCATCCATCCATTCATCCATCCACACATCCATTCATCCATCCCTTTGTTCCCCTCCGCACGTCCCGGCCCCCCCGAGCCTCCCCCGCCTCTCCCCTCACGCCTCCCCTCAGCCCGTGCGTCCCCCCTACTCCCCCCCTCCCCACCCCGGCCCGCGGCGGGAGGGCTCCCTCACATCTTCATGGTGCCCTTGGGGCCCAGGTTGGTCCTCAGCACGTCCTGCAGCCCGCGGGCCGCGCTGATGTTCACGGCCAGCGCGGCCTGGGCGCGGGCCACCTCGGCCTTGGGGTTGAGCGCCTTCACCGCCATGGCCGCCGCTCCGCTCTGCTCTGCTCTGCCCTGCGCCGCGCGGGCGGGGCGGGGCGGGCAGGCCAAACCCCGCCCCTTCTAGAACACTCCGGGCGCGCTGATTGGCCCTCCGCCGCGCCAGGCGCGTTTCTATTGGCTGCGGCGTCCGTCGCTCCGCCCGCCGCGGGAAGGCGCGGGGCGGTGTGGGCGCGGGCGCGGCGCTCATTGGCTCGCCGGAGCGCCGGCCGCATTCGTATTGGCTGTGGCGGCTGTCGCTCCACCTGGCCCCGCCCCCGCGCCGCCGCTGAGGGGACGCGGCCGTGAGGGCGGAGCGGGCGGGCGGGTACTGTGAGGGGGTCTCTGAACGGCGGGGTTCGTTCGGTCTTTAACCCACCCTCTTGTGTGACAGATACCCCCAGCAGCCTCGCAGAGCTGTGGAAATAAATAATTAAACCCGGCGATTTATGATTAGACCGGTGGAATTAATAATCAGAATGGTTAAAATGCAGGGTTGAGGTCGATCAAAACTCGTCTCCTCATAGCACAGAAGCTGCTATGTGGGGCACCAGAGGCTGTACAGTTCCCAGCACATCCCCTGTACCCCGGACTTTCCTGGCCTGAAGCCCTCACAGGGGTTCCAAGGATGGGGAGGATCCTTCCCAAGGCCACCCTGTGGAAGAAAAACAGAAATACTGTCAAGGCAACCTTGATGGGTGCTGAAGGGTTTACCCCACACGGCCTCTCAGGGCTCACACCTCGAGACACTGAAATATTTGTGTCTTTGGGCTATGAAATGGAGCACAATTGAGTTTTCCTGGGGGGGGGGAGCTTGAGAAGAAGCTCCTGCCGTGGTTCCTCACATCCCCGTGGGTACGGATTGCACCAGGTTTGGAGCCCACATTGCCCCATCTGGGCTTGAGCCCCAAACACCCCTCGGAGCACCTGGCAGCATCAGGTGTGACACAACCCTCTCGTGATTTCAAGTGTTGCATAAAGGAGATGCCTGGCCCCAGAATAATCCTGTCCTGGCTGCAGAGTGCCAGGGACATCCAGGTGGTTCCTGGATTTTGTCAGTATTTGGTACAGAGAAGACAGAGACTCTTCCCCAGCTCTCACCCACCAGGCGTGAGGCTGCCCAGAGAAGCTGTGGCTGCTCCATGCCTGGAAGTGTCCAAGGCCAGGTTGGACAGGGCTTGGAGCAACCTGGGCTAGTGGAAGGTGTCCCTGCCCGTGGCAGGGGGTTGGAACTGGATGATCTTTAAGGTCCCTTCCAACCTAAACCATTCTGTGATTCTATGAAATCTCCCCCACTCCATCCCACTTTTAGCAGCAGGGAGCTCTGGATGCAGCCCTGGACGCTGGGCCTCGGCAACCCAGCGGGCAGTGACGCAGTGAACTGAACATGTTTTAATACCAGGACTGAAGCCTGAGCCTGCTGCTGGGCCCAGTTTTGTTGCACAGGAGTTTTGGGGGAGCTTGGTGGCAGCAGTGTCGAGTGTCAGGGCAGCCTCGCTGGGTTTGGCTGTGGGCTGTGGCACCTGCTTTGGGTGAGGATCTCAGGTTTCGGGGCAAAATGCCATGTTGTGCAGGACAGGAGGACTCCCATGCGTGGCCTGTCTGTCTGATTTGGCAGCTCTGGAAGGGACTGATATCCCTGGAGCTGCTCATATCTTTGGGGTGCTGCTTTTTAAATGTTTTAGATGGAGTTGATGTTTGAACATAATTCAACACAGGTTTGGACCCCTTTTGTTTAGCAGAGCAGTGCTCATGTCTTGTGAAATATTTTAATGCTGACTCCAGTAGAGTGGCTGGGCTTTCTCTTCTGTTACTGTAATCATTAGAAATAAACATTAAACATTGCAAAATGCAGGGAATCACACTTGGCATTCCGTTATTGGCTCTAGAACTCTGCTGAAGTTTTGTCTTCACTTTGCTGGGATGCTGCCGGCCCGCTGAAACCATAACAAAACAAAACACCCCACCCAGCCCCGGGAGGCTGCAGTGGGAATATCTGAGGTGCCTGGATGCAATGTCCAGGTAAAACACCTGGATCCCCGGGTGTTTTGCTGCTCTTGCTTCTCTGGTTTGTCATTTTTTTGCCTGTTCCTCTCAGGGCTGTTCTCAGCAGAGGGCAGCCTTGTCAAACCCATACCAGCAGGCTTGCTATATTTTATGTTTTCCTTGCTGATGCCCATGGAAAGGCAGGAATTATCCATCCTAAGCAGCTGTGCCGTGTGGGGCTGGCTGCTGGCAGGGATGTGGCCATTCCCTGGGCAGGTTCAGGTTTGTGAAAGGAATTAATACTGCAGGAAAAATTTAGTTGGAAATTTAGATGGTTTTTTTTTTGGGGGGGGAAGGTATTTTCAAAGACATTCTAATCCTTTATGCAGGCGGTCTCTGCTTTTTTATATGACTGTTGTCATGTACAAGAGCTGGGTGCTGTGCTTGTATCAACATCCACAACCTGTGCTTTTCACTCCTGAATATCCTTTAAAGCTTCCAAGCAAAGTTCTCTGGGTTTCTTTGCTGGATCACATGCCTGAGGATAGCTATTTCTCATGAGCATTTTCACATTAAATGCCCATTTTGCAGCATTTTTCAGGCATCAGGACAAGCTTTTCTTCCTTTTTCAGTCTTAGCTGTAGTTGTTGAATTGTTCTGTGAATTTGGTTTTAATGCCTAGTAAAAATACAGGACAAATGCTCATTAGACTCAAATTGTCCTTTGAATTCAATGGATTACACCAGATTAGAATCAAAACATTTAACAGAATTAAAACCAACATGTCTGTTGAACTAATCCAAATAAAGGGAATATCCTTCATGAAATATTCAGCAGCAATTCTCTTAGTCAAGCCATGCACCGCTTATCTTGGCCAAAAACCCCTCTGAGATTCTCAGTAAAAGCCATTTCCTTTCATCTTTATCAAGATCTGTTTTCCTTTAACCTCATTCACAGAAATGGTTTCTAAATCTGCTTTAAACAACATACCGTCCTGCCACGATAAAGCCGACAAACAGGAGCAGACTGAAGGGTGATCCACGTCACTGGGGAATTTTGCAGCAAAGGGGCTTGGTCCCATTTTTTCCTGACACCAGAAATCACTGACAGATGCTCCTGTCCCCAAATGGTCGTGTACTGAGAACTTCTGAAAGAGATATAAAGGAAAGCATGTGAGGAGAGGCACGCAAGGTGATTGATTTTAACTAATACATGTAATTCTGAGGGGCGATACTGCCAGGATGGCAAACGAGGTCATGCATAGAATGTGACTGGTGCATCCAGTGGTGCAGAACAGCCTGTCAAGATGGGCAGCAGTCACGGGACTCTTATCACAAGTGAACAAAAGTAGCTGGATCAGCTAAATTGGGCTTTTTTTGACCTTGAACAGCTTCTGGGTTGGCACTCTCCTGTTTCCTCACCCATACCCACAGCAGTGTCAGGGGGACACTCTTCTGGGGGATCCCAAACACGAGCCGAGGCAGGTTCTGCAGTTTTCCCATTGCTTTTGGCAACACTGCATTTGGGGGACACAAAACAGGACCTTGTTATACGCAGAACTTTTCATTTTGCTCCAGAGCTTTTGGTGAGTTTTGATTGGATTTGTGGAACTTCGCACGGTGATGCTTAAGCCAAAAGGCAATACTGAATCAGACTCGCAGCCCCTTTCATCTCTCCCTCAGCCAAGAGAGAACACTGTCCCTGCTTTGCCTCTGCCTCCATGCCAAGAGAAATTCCTGCCTGCTGCCTGCCGGAGCCGCTCCTCGGGCTCAGCCCCCTCTGGTTGTCCATGCCCACGGCACGGGATGAGGGGCTGAGCGAGCTCCCCACCGTGCTGGGGTCCGGCCAAGCCGTGCCTACCCACGCCGGGCCCAGCGGCTCCTCCCCTGACGTAGGGAGGTTACACCTCTCCTCCCTTCCCTGTCAGCGAACAGCTGGACTTCTCTGGTTACATGTGTGCAACCATCTCAAACAAACCACCCGGGCTGGCTTACTCAGCGCGTTATCGGGGCGTGATTTACAAAATGCGGCTCCCGGCCAGCGCAGCCCGTGCCGAGGGTTTGTGTGACTGAAGGTCTCAGCTGATCCCTTCTTGCCCTGTGCGAGCCGAGGGGTTTTTCGCAGCGGCAGCAGCAGCGGCAGCCACGGCCAGTTCAACACTGTAAGTCAGCGGGATCTTTCCTCTCTCAGCGCGTTTGTTCCTCTGTAACACTGTGTTTTTTCTAGCGTAGGAAACCAAGGGTACCCCGTGCCGGGGCCCTGCCTGTGCCCGGCGAGGCACGGCACAGCGTGGTGCCCGTTTTATAACAGCAGCATGAATGAATGATGCAATCGGGCAGGGGGGGAGCACCATCGTTTTGTCGGGACAGGCGAGAGGGGATTGGAGAGCTGGGAGGTGTCTGTCAACATCCATCAGGTTCCTGCTGCCCCTTTTCAACTACTTTTTCCAAGGTGCTTCAGTGAGTTCACTGTGAGGCACTGCTGTTCAGATAATAGCGCTCAGCTACAAACAGCTCCTCTGTTGGACTGCACGCAGGTTTGTATCACTGCCTTTACAAGCTGGACAGAAAAAACAGCAGGTTAAGGACTGAGTCTTTCTATTCTCACCCTGAAAACCACTGCAACTCACAGTTATGGGTGGATGGGTTGAACTTTTAAAACTTGTAGGGATATAACAGCCACGACTTGCTTAAACACAGCTAATCTGCTTAAATGTATCACTTTTTCTCTAAAGCTTTCAAAGCATGTTGTTAATTCTGAGAATCACCTCAGCACAGAAAAGCTGTCATCATATTATTCCTATTTTACAGACACAAGACTAGAAACAATGAGGATTAAGTGGTTTGTTTAAACTAATACCATGGAAACACTTCTGGGAATGTTCTTAGAAGCAGAACCACTCCTGTAGTGGGAAAAGGTCCCCCAAAAGTTTCAAGAACTATTTTCTCCAAATCCATTATTCTAAGCTGCAGTTTCCCTTCAGTGCAACAGAAACAGTTAATTGTGGTTGAACTTCTGTTGATGTCACTGCATGTTAACATTTCCCACATTAAGTGGGAAAGAAACACCAGGAATTGTTTGCAAACAAAGATATTTCTGAGTGCTGGGTAATATTTCATTAAGATTCACTTAATCTTTATTTTTTCATGGCAATAAGTATGAACAAAATGCAAAATAGCAGTGTGGCAGCACTTCTGAAAGCAGAAATATGATAACAAGTGAGGTTTAGTCACAATGAGGATTTTGAGATCTTGTCAAGATCTCATGGAAATATTCCAGCCCCAAACACCTGCAGTTCTGAGCATCACTTTCTCCTTCCATTTACATTACTTGTAGGTACTGAGGATGTTTCAGTTTTTCCCAGTGAGGCAAGTGCCCTTCTTTGAAGGGACAGCAAACAGAGAGGATTTCAGTTGTTTTCCTTTGACATGTGGTCTTACCTAATTCCCGTGTTTGCTTCTGTGACTCCACCCTATCTGTTATGAAAGAGAATTATTTCTTATGAAAATGCCTTTTTTTTTTCCCCCAGTACTTCCTAGTCTGGAGGCAAGGAGATCTCATGGAAATTCCACTTTTCCCTTCTGATTTCCTTTTTCTCCATCTTTATCTCAAGTTTCACCCAACCTCCCTCCCCTTGTCGCTCTTATGTCTTCTCTAATCACTTCTTTGCCAATTGTTTCTTCTCATCCCCATATTCTTGTTTCCAGCTTTTCCCCTCAATATTTTATGAGATCTGTTGAAATGTTTGCTGCTTGGATGCTTTACCAGCATGCAAATAATAGGCTAGGAATAAATTACCTATCTGAAATTCAGTGGCAGGAAGATCAGAGATTCTCTACCCGTGTTTTTCATATGGAGACAGGACTCATTGCTTGTGGGAATTTCTTTCTTCTTACTGTCTCATGGAAGTATTGACAGATTTAAGCAATCAGATGCCCTGTGTTTCAGAGTAATTAATCTCTGCCAACTGCAGAGGCCTGTACCAGTCTGGAATAAAACACTGGTGTTCCCTTACACAGAGATTTGTTAGAGGTTTGTCCATAGAAGGGTTTTACACACCTTCAATTCTTTCTGCCCTGATGAACTACTACTGGTGGTTCCTGCATTTCAAACCCCAGTTCTTCCCTTCCAGCTTGTCATTTCTAGGTAATATAAACCACAGTCTGAAACTATTTTGGAAGAGTTATTATGGCATAGAATAAAGAGAGGACAGGGTTAATTCCAACCATGGCTCCAGAACTGGTAACCATAGTTCTTCCTCTAACTGCTTTATTTGTCCATCAAAGTGCAAAGTCCATCACAGCATTGGTCTCACCATTGTGAGGAACATCCAGAAGGGAAAGGAGTGTGGGAAATGTGGATATCAGAGAAAGGGAAGAGTTAACGTCTCTCCCTTCCTGCTCCCAATGTGTGTTTGTGGTGGCAACGTTTTCCTGAGCGAAATTAAAATTTTAAAGATGTGTATCCAGAGATATACCCCAGGTTCTCACCAAGAAACCACGTCACAGTGGTGCAGTGTCCTCACAGGGTGACATTGCATCACCGTGTGGCAGAGTTGCAGTGCAGCCCCAGGTGAGCATGAGGCAACAGGGTGGCTTTGCATAACAAGGGCTCAGTGCTGGAACAGCGTGACGCCCATGTCACGCCACAGCGATGCCTGACCCAAAATCAAAGCCCTGCTGCTTGGAAAATCACAATATTTCACTGAAAACACAAACAAAGCGCTCTGGAGCCAACGTCAAGTCAAGGCTAATGCAAAGTAAACATGAAATTCACCTGTCACCTGTTCATCCACTGCCAAGTATGACCTCAGGACTGGTCTCTGTCAGAGGGAAGTGGCCACTAAGGAGAGAGAGGGTTATTTTATGTGCTGTGCTGATGGTATGTGACTGTATTTCTTATATGTCCAGTGCAGTTTTTATAGACAAGGTAAAAAAACATATGTGGCCTGCAGGAAATAATTCTTTAGTGATGGTTCTAAGGCTAGAGCAGAGTTTTACATGCACCAACAGCAGAGACCTGCCAAACTGCAGTTCAGTCTGTGTCTCTGCCTTTCCCAGGGATGGTTTCTAAAAGCCCTTTTCTGGAACATCTCCTCTTTGCTGTGTCCCCACTCCCTTTTGCTCTCTGGCACACTGGGGAGGTTGAGCCCGGGCTCTGTCCTACCTTCCCACACCTCACCCCAGCGCACAGGAGGGAAGTGTGGGCTGGTGGTCCCTGCTCTCCCGTTCTCACTCACCCCTGGGATGCAGGTGAGCACTGAAGAAGCTGATGTGCCACCTGCTTGCCTTGTGCAAGCGCCATGAACCCACTTGGGCTCCTAAAGAGGTGTGTTCACAGCAAAACACTCCAGGATAGCAGAATAGCCCTCACAGAAAGTACCGTTCCATGGCTGCCTCTGCCTTTCATATCGCTTGCTCTCTCTGTTTCTTGCTACTTCACATTTTCTTCTTTGTCAAGCAGATCCTCTCTTACAGACACAGCTCTTGGCTGTTCACAACAGGTTTCACCTCTTAGACTGGGTGACTTCATTTATGTAAGCTTTCAGCTTTCAACAAAGCACTGGAGTGTTCTCTTTCATTCCATACACAGGAACAGATAAAAGGGGTACGTGTTCTACGGATTTTTAGCAATCATGGTAATTTTTCATAGAGGCTTTTATATCCCAGTATTTGCCACGTGGTTACTTGTCATGGAAATAAACCCAAAGGTTCCCTTTCCTGCTCTGAGCATTAACTATTTAGCTGTGATCTCGTGGTGAGCACATGAAGTCACCTCAGGAGACAGCACCGGTGCTTACCATGTGTGATCCCTGGATTACTCCTGTCTGGCAGTGAGTGACATCAGTGCCTGTCAGCTCCTGTACTTTTCCACAGCAAGGCACACAGTGATCATCTTCTCCATCTTCTCTGGGTGTCTTTTGTGCCTGGGGGTGCAAAGTTCATAAAAAAACCAAAAGGGCAAAAAATAAATGGGAATTTGTGTATAAAAAACCTCTCACCTTCAAAATTCACATGATATATAGGAGAATAGTAAATTACCTTAGTAATATAAAGGTATATAAAGACATCCATAATTCTTGAGAATGTGCTGTTTGATGGTGTTTTTCCCCTATCCCAGAAAAAGAGAGAACCTGCTACCCAGATCAGTTGTACAAGACATGTCCTGAGAGATGTCTTAAAAGATTAGAAGGAACAAGAAAACAAAAACTTTTACAAAAACCTGGGAAGTAAGATAGACAGCAAGCTGTTGTTTGTGTCTAAATGTACAGATCAGTAAATAGTAAAGTCCACAGTGAATTAATTCCCTTACACAAGGATGAAGCACAAGATGAGTAGGGAGGAGTAAGAAGATACTTAACTCCTCGAGCTCCTGATCTGCAGAAGGGCTCAACATATTTAAGTGGAAAGATATAAAAGGGAAGAAAATAAACTTTTATCAGAGTATTGTTATGGAAAATGTGTTGTCTTAATGGGTTGAGTGAAGTCCTCAAAGCCCAAGACTTTAATGGATTTTATAAGACTAATCCCCAATGCTAATGGCCCAGTCTTTTATGCATTCATAGATGATGAAAATATTTAGCTTGCATTAATCAGGACATAGAAAAGTATCTAAACCTTCATGATTTAGGGACAACCAGTCACTGACAGATTTAGGGTAGTTATGTCTACCACAGTTAAACAAATCCTTGAGGGCTGGGTGTCCTGGAGCAGCCAGTCTGACACGGATGGGTCGGAGGAGAAATCAAGACCCAACTGATTGGCAGGGGCAAAACAAAACAGAGAACTGCAAGTCCCACGCAGCCTCTGGCAGCCTGGTGGTTCAGCAGATGCCAAGTATCACAACCTTGAACCCCAAGAGAACACCAAGGGGCCGAGCCAGCAGAGAGCAAATCAGCAGCTGCCCGAGGCTCCACGGCCCACCTGGAACGCAAGTTGAACATCAGCAGGCAGCAACAGCGGGGAGCAAATCAGCAGCTGAGCCAGACCCCCACCACCATCCCCTGGGATAAAAGCTGGCGATCAGGCTGTGCTCGTCCCTTCTCGCACGAACCAGAACAGCGGCCCCAATGGCTCAGGAAACACTGCAGTACTGCCACTCTGAGAAAGACTTCATCTTGTCCCCTCACAGTAAGAAGGCTCCCAAAAGGATGGCGTCCCTCATGGAGCTGAAGGAGATCTTCCGCAGCGCCGACGCCGTGTGCTTCGACGTGGACAGCACGGTCATCAGGGAGGAGGGGATCGACGAGCTCGCCAAGTTCTGCGGCGTCGGCGACGCCGTGGCGGAGATGTGAGTATGGCTGGGGTTTAATTGATAACAAATCTGAAAAAGGATGAGTGTGGATAGGGCTGATCTGCGACAGGGGATTTACAGTAGGGGGCTTGCTCAACCCTGTCGTAGATTGTTAGGGTTTAAAAGGGATTTGGGGAATAATAAGTGGAATTAGCGCATAGTGATGTAGCTTGTTTTGGAACTGCGAAGCCACCTGACAAAACTGATATATAGTCTACATATATATCAGTTCATATACTGATATAAAGTCTGTAATGTCCATTTTGATAGAGTTAGATCAGCTCTTATCATTGAACTTGGCTTAACACCAGCAAACCTTATTACAAAGTAGCAAACCTTATTATGAGATGGAGGAGAGGGGACCACTCTCCTAACCCTTCTCTGAGGCTGGTGATTAAAGACTTGTAGCAAAAGTTAAGTTCAGAGAAGAGCACCTGAGGTGCAGTTCAGGAACGCTGGGCCCAGGGGCTCATGGCACTCAGAGAGAGAATGAATTTGTTTTCCACTGGTTTTCCAGTCCATGGAGATCTCCCATCAGCGGATGCCACTGATCTTTTCAGTGTACAAACCTCCTCCTCTACCACACAGGTTCAGTTATAACCTACAGCTCTAATCACTTAACGTGTTTCCGTATCACCCTTTGTTAACTAAATCTTCCTGGGGGAAGCCTCAGCTTGCTAAGAGTCACTGATTTGGTTTCTTTGGCTCCCAATTCAGGACCCGCAGGGCCATGGGGGGCACAGTGACATTCAAAGCAGCTCTAACAGCACGACTCGGTCTCATACGTCCCTCCTACGAACAGGTGCAGAAATTAATATCTGACAACCCACCTCAGCTCACGCCAGGGATCAGGTAAGAAGAATTTCAACTTAGTTTGAAATTGATTTTGGCATAAATAAACAAAACCCTGCGCTGTCACTGAAGCTGTGAGAACACAGAGCTGGTTTGGATCGTCCTCCTGCTCCATCTCCATGCTGGTTGTGCACAAAGCTTGTACCAGGAGCTGAGTCCAGGTCAAGTGGTTAAGCACCCATGTAAAAAGAAAATAGACATTAACTGGCACTTGGGCTGGCAAGCTCAAATCCTGGCTTGAGGATTAAATGGGCATGGAAAATAATCTGTTCAATCGCATCTGGTATTACATGGGTGATGGAACTGGAAGGAGATTTAACACCCAGTAGGAACTGCTGGCTGGTTTATTCCACAACTCTATCACCTCTTACACTCCTCTGTGCAGCCATAGCTCTGACTCAGCTTAGGGGATTCATTGCTCAGAGCTACCCATTCTGTCCTGAAGTCCCTAAACAGCAATAAAAAACTAATTTAGCAAATACACATGTACATCTGTGTTCATTCACTTTTAGGTTTGGAATGAACTTTAACAATATAAACAGAAAAGGTTTGTGTTTTTTTGCCCTATTTAAATTGTTTCAAACAGTCGAGAATAAATTCTTTACTACAAAATTCAACCATAATTCCAAGTCCAAAGTATTTTCAGCACATAGCAGAAGCTTTAGATGATTCTATGCTTGTATTTTCTCCTTGAAATGAAGCACATGCTCAGCTTTTTCTATAGAAGACATAGCTAGATGTAGCTACAACGAGAACATTGTTTCCTTGTTTAGAATCATGTGATTTTCCTTTTCATTCCTTCTTTTCTTCCTCCTTTTCAGCCCTTCCCCTTCTTCCTCCTTTTCTGTTTAGCCTGCTTTGAGCCTCCACTTTGCTTTTCAGTCGTTAGCCTTTCTGCTGTTACTGCCACCACTTCCACTGCTCAGCACTGCTGCAGGCTGATCTTCCTGCTTCCAGAGCCAAATCCCTAAAACTTTTAACTGCCTTCAAGTCCCTCTGACATTCACTGGGTCCACAAACTTCTTTTTTTTTTTAAATTCCTTTTCTGTAGCTGGTGCCTTCTTCTGAAGATGGCATCCCTGTCCAATGTCTGGGGAACCAACTCTGAGTCAGAAAACATTTGCACTTTGCTCTTTTCATCCCACTTTTGCATTCTGGAGCAGTGGCTTTATCTCCCCCACATTCCCTACTTTTTTTTTCTGCAGATTAATTCTCTTGCTGTTGTTTTACTTCACTTCAGAAAAAAAATCTGAACTGGCTCTGCTCTTGTTTGTTCAAGGGAACTGATGTGACCAATATGAAAGAGTAAAGAAAACATTTCTAGGGAGTGCTTGTTTTCAAGGAATTAAATACCTGCTTGTCTCTAGACACGATGGTTTTGCCCAGAGCTTCCTTTTGTGTGCACAAACTTGCCAGGGAAAGGAGGAAAAGCTTTGGGCAGCAGAGATGGATGGAGTGGGAAAGCAGCACAGATCCAAACTGACCTGGAATAACACAGAGCAGGGGCAGGCCTGGTTAGGAAAGCTGTGTTTTAACTTTCTGCTCTGCCTTCTCAGGGAGCTGGTGAGCAGACTTCACCAACGAGGGGTTCAGGTCTTCTTGGTGTCCGGGGGCTTTCAGAGCATTGTGGAACACGTGGCCTTGCAGCTGAACATTCCCACAGCAAACGTCTTTGCCAACAGGCTGAAGTTTTACTTTAACGGTGAGATTCCCTCCAAGTCTCTTTTCTCTGCTAATTAACGTCACTTTTTAGGCTCCAGCTGTCAGAGATTGGGCTGCAGACACTGCCCAGCCTACCTGCTGTGGTTACCAATCCAGCTAACTCCAAGCAGGAAAATTACAAGACCTTATCAAAACCAAATTCAGGTCATTTCCCACATATGAAACAGAGCTGCAGTGACTTTGTAATGGCAAGCTGTGCCAAAGGTAAAACATGTTACAGTTGCTGACAGCAGAGTTTCATTTTTTCTTGCTCCTTCAAGCTAAAAGAGTTCATTACACTGACCTGCTCTCACAGACTTCCCTTTCAGTGACTTTGGGGTATGTGTGAGGTTCTGCAGCAGAGCTGGTGTAAACAAGCCCAGCTGTGATTAGTGAGGTTGTTCCTTACTCAAGTGTCTCCCACACTGTTTATACATCATCCTGGACGCTGCTTTTGCAATGTTTACATCAGAATGGCTGAACCAGAGGGACTGGGAATGGATTTGCAGCACTACTCACACAGGGTTTCTATTCTGAAAATATCCCTTTGAAAAATATTTCCACTGAAGACTTGGGTACAATCCCAGTTTTCACTCTTACCTTCCACTCATTTTTTGGGGCTGCTGGTGCTGTGAGGTTTACAGACCACAGGCATAGATCTCTCTTCATTCACAAGAAAATAATGCTGCATGTCCAACTTGTGCTTCCACCGTGTTCTAGGAGAATATGCGGGATTTGATGAAACACAACCAACAGCTGAGTCAGGGGGGAAAGGAAAGGTCATCACTCATCTGAAAGAACAGTTCCACTTCAAGAAAGTAGTTATGATTGGAGATGGAGCTACAGACATGGAAGCCTGCCCCCCTGGTGTAAGTATCACAGAAATCTTAAATTCCTTTGGGGGAGGGGAAAAAAAAAAAGGAAAAGTGAGGTTTGAATTCCTGACAGGACTTCAGGGACTGATTAAAGGTGCTCAGTGTGAAGGTCTGGCCCAGATCTGGTGCACATTGACCTGATATGACCCAGCAAGAGGGTTCATCTCACTGCACAGTGAGGAAAGCTTTGTAGACATCAGCTCTGACAGGGTGAAATAATAAAAGAAATTAATAGACAACTTTTAAAAATGATCTAAATTCCATCTCCCCTTTAACATCTTCACCCTTTCTCACCCATGCTGAGGAACAGCTGGTCCCTCACTGTTAAACACCAGTGACCAAAGCAGCTCAGTATTTGCTCAATGCTTCCCAGCTCCAGGCAAAAAAAGCAGCAGTGGAAATTTTAAACCCTGCACTTTCACTGCAGGTGGTTTTCTGAGATGTAGAAATGATTGCTCCTGGTTAATGATTGAAGACAGGGTTAATGTTTGCTTTTGGTATCTGTCAAATGGGGTAAACAGAGGTAAGATAAACAGAAGAGGGATAATTGTGGGATGCTGATGCATGTTCCAATGTTTACTCATTCTTGAAGAGAATTGCATCACATTTACATCAGATTTTCAGCAAAATCTCAGTTCTGAACAATCTTGAATCTACAGGGTACTGAGACAACTTTCCTATTGGAACAAAACTCCAATTAACAAAGTGCTGCAGAATTAACTGTTAATGAAGTCCTTGTTAATAAATCTGAAAGGTGAACATGCAAAGTAAACCAGGGGAAGAGGTGAGGGGGGGATGACATACTTTTAAGATCCATCTTAAAAGCAAACTGAATGGCTGAGAAGCTCCATTCCTTCCACGGGCCTGCAATAATCAACATGCCTGCTCTTTGTGTTTTTCCAGGATTGTTTCATTGGATTTGGAGGAAATGTAGTCAGAAAGCAAGTAAAGGAGAAAGCAAAATGGTACATTACTCACTTTGACGAGTTGCTAAAGGAACTGGAAGAGCGATAAATTATACAGTAAAATAATCTATTTAACACCTGTAAATTCATTATACAATGCAATTAAACATTTATTTGTTTGCAAAGTTGTGTGCTGGAGTTTTTAATGATTCTGGATGTTGGGTACCTTCATTCTTGGGCCTGAAACTCGTGTGGCAAATGGCACCATTCAACTCAAATACGTTGTCAAGGAAATGGTAAGATTTTTTGATACATCTTTCCCATGCTGGAAGAAATGAGTTGATTATTCACTCACAAGTGAAGACCAAAGGTAGAAAATAATAAGTTAAAAATACCTTAACGGATTGGCCCCTGGTCAATTCTGCATACCTGTTGTTTCAGAATCACTGAAGTTAATACCTCTGCTTATTTTGGGTGGCAAAAGAAGGGAGCCACAAACAAGAACTTTGCCTAATCGAGAAGTAACAGAAATACAGTCTGAAAGGTGAACAGCATGGCAAATACTTTTCACTGCACAGAATCTCAGAATTAGGTCCATCAGTGAGCAGACAGATAGGAAACATCACTAAGTGTCTCTGATTTCATTAAAATAGGAGAACCTGAGGGAGAACTGTCACTTCACTGTCACTCAACCTGTCTGAAAGACATGAGTTGCATGCAAAGCTGAGACACTGTCCAAGAAACATATTTTAAGGGTAGTGATACACTGGTTCCCAAACTTCATTAAAATACTTCAAACTAATCCCCAAAATGGTGATTTTGTGAAATGGCCACACTGATTACTTAACTGTTTTATTTATTTAACAACCCACCCCTATCAGCCTATAACTGGAGGGAAACTAATTCATCAACCTTTAAAAAACAAATGGTCTACTGATTAAGGAAATTCTGTGAAACTTCGGTCTCTTCCTCTGCCTCAGAGGTGGATTAACCACCCCTAAACTGCCCTAGAAATAAGGGTGACCTGTTCTGAGCACTTCTCTGAGCTTCACTAAGGAATCCTGGTTTCTTAAGGATGCCTCCTTTGTGGCTGCAGTGTCTGATCCAAGAGAACACACTTGGTAAGTGCTGCCTTTCTGTCAGCAGTTCCTGACAGCTCTTCTGAGTGTGTCTCTTTAACCAGCTTTGCTGGCACATCATGGGACTTTTATTTCCCTATCTTGTAAGAACCTCACCTGTGATAATGTGAAAAGCTTTCCTAATGTGAACTAACGTGATTTGTACTTGAAAAAAAAAAAATCTCTGCAGGTTTTTACCTTCTGGATGCTTGCAGAGTCCCAGTATTTTTCTAGAGACTGCAGATTAGTCTGAGTGTGCCAATTCTCTTTCATCCCACCACAGATTTCTAGATGGAATAGGAAGAAGTGATGTCCCCACATTCCAAAAGCTCACACTGTCTAATAATAATCAGGTTTTCACAATTAGCACTAATTTAGAACAAGGTGCTATGAGACAGCTCCTGTCCAATTGTTAAAGCACCACCTACAATTAAACCAAATATTGGTTTTGCCCATTCTCTGACATCACTGGGAAGGGTTTGGGGGAAAGAGGAGCTAACAAAGCCCCAGAGTGCAGGATGGCAGCTCTCAGTGATGCCATCAAATAGTTGTGGCAAAAAAAATCTAGGCAATATATGCTTGAAGCTACAACAGCATTTAAATAGTAGAGAAATAGAAGGGTTAAAAGAAAACAAATCCAGAAACAAACTTCTGATGGCTTTTTAGAGAAGGCAGACACGTAACAGCCACACTGAGTATCTGCACACAGCTTAGAAAACTTCACCAAAGCCAAGGCAGACAATGGCTGGCAGTGCTCCCCAGAACTTCTGGGAGTATTAAAGATGGGCTCTTTTAAATTCTCCCTGAGAAAAGTCTCAGCCAGCTCCAAGGGCAGCTCCTGTACAATCCTGCTTTTGTTTGGTCAAGACTGCACGAGCAGAGCAAGTATGAACTCCTCCTGCTCCCACTGTGCCCCTCTGCAGACCCGCAGTTACGAAGCAGAAATGTTTGTTTGCTGCAGTTTTTCTGCCCAACTAAAAGGCCACTAAAAAAAAAATTAATGTTAACACGGAGCTGATCAGCTCGAGGTACAGGCCCTGACCCTGCAAACACCGGGACATGGCTCGAGTCAGTGTGATTTCCCTGGTGGCCCAGCCAGAAGCCATGCAGGGGCTCTGTGCCACAGGGATGTTAACATTCCCAGCAGGATCCTCTGCCAGTCGGAGCGCTATGGAAACGTAGTGCCCTGCCAGGGATTTCACAACAGCTCTTTAGGTCAGACTGGTTTGGAAGAAAATACCACCCCCACCCCCCTCCCCTTCCACTGGGCAAATATCAAGCCTGACCTCTAGCCCAGGAGGTACCAGGAGGATTACTGAGCTCAGCGAGTGGCTGAGCTCTTTTGTCTGTGAAATAGTGGAAAAAACCCAGGAGGGAATAAAGCAGTGTGAGGGAAGTTCCAAGCTTACAGCCAAGCTACTGATTTGCCTGGACATATCCCACCAACAGCAGGGCAAAGTCTGGAGAGCAGCTCATGTCAGGCAAGTAATAGCTGGCCTCCTGACCACGAGCGTGGGGAGGTACATTCTCTGTGTAAAAGCTTTCTGATGTGATTATTCAGTGAGGCAGAACTGCTTAAAATGATATATTCAATTTGCATGAGGGGACTTCTAAAAAAAAAATCAGCTCTCAGTCTTCTCTAGGAAGGGCACAGGGCGACTAAATTGGAGTTTTAATTGTGTCTTCATTACAGTGGAACAAGAGTTGATAATTACCAGAGACGCTTCTGGGCATTGTTCCCCACCTTCCAACCACTGGAGAGTGACTTCAGTTCTGAACTCTACCAGTTTTGCTCTAAGAAATGTTGAAGTATTGCTCATCAAAGGAAAAAGGCAGACTGGGCTCTGAATGAAGAAAACCAATCTCAGGAAAGGCTCAGGCAAAGGAAAGCAAGGAAAGATTGGCATTACTTATCTATTGCATCACGTTCAGCGAGTTTACACAGCTATCTGTAAGTAAAATTACAGGAATTCATCTGTCTCTGATGGCAGCCAGAGCATGAGCATGAAGCTCAGAACAGGAGGCAAATCCACACCACATTCCAGCACCACTGGTGGGAATTCAGATCCTGGGGGGTGGGTAAGAGATCTGTTCTGTGTGATGTCACCCCACAGAACATCCAGTTATTCCTCTGATTTCTTAGTCATGCAAAACTTCATGGTCCTTGAACAAGAGCTCTGCCAGACAGAATTTAATTCCTAGTGCTCCTGGTTGCAGGTGGGAAACAGGGATTGCACAGAACCCACAAAATCCTGCAGCTCCAACAATTTTTTTTTTTCTGTTTGTCTCTGCTGGTTCTGAGGGGTTAGTTACAAAGATAATTTTCTAGGAACAAGAAATACAGGAGGATACTGGGAGAAATAAGAAGGACTGGAAGCTGATATTGTCATCCTTTGTCTCCTTTTGTAGCTGAACAGTAGCCCCAAAAGCCTGGAACAATGACACCCCAGATGACAGTCCTGCTCAGGGTTACAAGAAGGATCAGCTCAAATGATTTTCCCTGGCCCACTGAGCAAGCCAAGCCGAGAACTTTAGGCTGATGTAATACAGAATTTTACTCAGTAAAATCCCATATCAGTTGACAACAGGAGGAAAACATGAAGAACCAGCTCAAATAATGACTTTGTTCAAGATGGAATTCAAGTGAAGGCACGAGTGCAGCGTACTTCATGTGAGCAGAAAAATAAAAAACAGACATGAAAAATAAAGCACAATTTGTGGAGAAAAATCAAAAGGCAAAGTATTTTCTATTTATCACCACAGCACTTCAGACCTCTAGAACACTCAGCAAAATGGGATGTGATGGAGAGATTATAAATTCACTTTGGAGAAGGAGAGCAGAATACTGGGAAATGCTGCCCTTGACCCTGAGAAGTGATATTGGCTGGGCTGAAATAATCTGTGCAATCACTCAAATTTTTCATAATAAACACTGCAAGAGGAGAGAAAACACAGGTGGTGCAATACATATAAGGTGCCAGCAAAATGTGAAAATTAAAAGGCTTTTATTGACTGATATGTTCTTCCTGAAAACTTATTGAAATGTACAAACTGGACATTCAGTAACTGATTTGTACATTCAGTTATGTTACACTGATTCTTGTAGCCACTTGAAAGAGAGGGTATTATTTTCACTGACAGGATGTTCACATCATTGCAGACACCAAAAGTGTTGATACATTCTAGACTAAAGTGAAGCCAAAACAGAACTGGACATCATGGGACACCGAAATGCCAATTCCATCGACTCGACATGCGCCAGTTTCACACACCAATTCGGGAGTACCTACTGGACAGGCAGGGAGTGAAACACCCGACCAAGCATATGTCTGGAGTCACAATTGCTTATTAAATTAAACCCCTTTTCCCAGAGTTCTGAGCTGTTTGTAGAGAGAAATGTATTGAGCTGAATTGATTCCCTGCAGAGTGTTCAGACAACCACGTCTTGGCAGTATTTCTTTGAAAAGCGTGGGTAACACTTCACAGAATTCACTTTGTGCGACGAGTTTCGACAGGTTTCAGAGTCCTTGCCAACCAGAACTCCCTATTCTCTGTCCACAAGCCATCACCTGACACAGTATTATCCCCAATTAATGACTGCCTGTATGTAAATCCAGAGCTACCAACTGATTTCAGGCCTGCTCCAACAGCCAGGTGCAGTTCCGAGCTCCCCGAGGGCTTCAGAGCTTCTGATTTCACAACTCCCACACTTGTTTTTAAAACCTGCAGTCATTAAAATGCTACAAAAAGGCCACAGCAATGGCAATGCTCCGTTCTGCTGCTGTTACTGAACACTGGGCAGTGCCTGTGTGGCAGGAGATATTAAATACTGTAGGCCATACCTCACCTGGGGAGCTGTCTCACAAAGAACTCCTGTCTTTGGACTTGTTTTCAACTAACCGACCTTTTAATTAGAGTCTTGTGTATTTTCTCCCCCCTGGTACAATCCTAAGAGCAAAAGGTCATGGGTTCTGAAGAAAAGAGGTCTCTTTTATAAGCTCAATACAGTACTTTTATATTTCAGACTATGATATACAGTGTATACCATAAATTAAGACAAATACTTGTCACTTTATCTATGTAGGCACAAGTAAATCAGTGACTTTACTGAAGTGGAGAAATCTTCAATGGGATCATGATTCTGGATTCCATTTCCTGAATAAGGGGCACTGAAAGTAAAAAAAAAAAAAAGAAAAGAGAGAGAGAGGGTTTCATTTCTTTAACAGAGATCACGAGCACACTCAGTTTGAACAGCTTTTACTGTCTTCAAACTACTCCCCCTGCCAAGTCATCAGTAACACCAACATCCCTGTAACTGAAGCACAACAGTTTTGAGAACAAATGATTTTAATACAATCTCTCTGCTCCTTTGAAGACAAATATTTCTGTTCCTTTTCACCACAAGGGAAAGTTATCTTACATTTTTTTCTGGTATACTTCCTTTGAAATGCACTGTATGGAACCCAAACCTGACATGCTTGGCATGCTTCTGTGAGCTTTGTTATGAAAGCTTTCTTTGATCTCAGAGATCTCCTGGCTTCTGGTTCCAAAGTCTAAATTCCCTTTCCAAGGAATGCATTTAACAAGGCTCTCGTATTTCATGAAATCTTTGAGGTAATCATTTAATATAAAGACAAATTTCACTTCTGGCTCCCTAAATTTTTGGGCACAAGCATTTACACGAATCTGTTCTAGAGGAGGGATTTTTTAGCACTTTTCCAAGTTTGTAAAATCAACAGCAAAATTCCCTTGGCAGTTTCATGCCGTGTCCCTCCTTTCCCTTAGAGCAGGAAAACTGACTCTCACACACACACACAGACACACACTCCCCACTGAGATGCAGAACTTTTTACCACTGTGGGATGTGCTGAGGAGCAGAAAATGATGGCACACACCAAAGTCTGCCCCCAGCATTCCAGTGAAGTTAATAGGTTACCTGTGTAATAGACTAGTTCATCCCAGCCAGGTTTATTCCATGCAGCATTCCTTATGTCTTCTCTGGTCTGAAGATCTTTGTAAGCTGGGGAGGGAAGACAAGCACGAAGCTTAGAGGTAACTCCTTTTTCCTTCTGCACAAGAATAGCTCCTTTCAAAAGTGTTCTAGGGAATAATTAGGAGGTTGCAAACACTGGGAAGGAAAGGTCAGTTGCTCTCCATGAGAAGGAAAAGCTCCCAAACCAAGGCAAACAGAAGGAACTGGGGAAGAGAGAGAATGTCTCGGACACAGGTAAGACAAATAATGCAAGAGTGCAGTTCTACATGAGTGGAGTCAGATTTATAATGCTGGAATATAATATTCTCAATTGTCAGATATGAGGGCCACTATATGAATATGATATTCTGAACCGCCAGATATGAAATCTGCACGTTTTCTAACATCAATATTAGACTGAGTTTCTTCAGGTTGAAACAATGCTAACATGTGAAAAACAGCTGGGTATTTCTGGAGGTTAATGCACAGAGAAAGCCAAAACACCTGGATGCAGGAACGTAAATAAATGACTGACTTTCCTTTCTGCAGGTGTGGTATATGTGATGCTTGAAATGAAACTGTAAAAACCTGATTTCAGCATGAATGGGGATGGCAGGACGTGGTGTGTCATGGTTATGGTACCGAGAGCAAACAGGTAGTTCCTAATGAGAGAGGGACACGAGAAACTGTTGATGGAAACGGAACAAACCAGCAAATGTTCACTTCTGCTTGCTTGTTAAAGTTACCTACACAGAAATTAGGAAAATCAACAGCAAACCAAAACAAAATAACTCCTTCTGAGATATTCCTTCGCCTTTGGTAAAATCTCCTGGGCAAAGTCCCCAGTCTGTGGGGGGGCTGACTCAGTGAGAAAAAAGCCAAGCAGGTGAATTTACCCCAGAGGTGATGAACCATGTACAGCTGTCCAATCTGTGAGAAAAATCCTCCGACTGCTTCGTTACTGTCCTGTCGGAAACGAATTGCACGAGCCCTGGAGGGGAGCAAAGCAGGAATGAGAACCAGCAGGGCTGGGGAGGAAATAAGTGTTGTATAAATAAGATCAGTACTTCTCTTAATTATAAATCTGTTGCATCTTATAAAATAGACTGGCTACCAGTATAGATACATGCATTTTATATTCTCAATTCAGTTTGTTCAAATTACTGTAATTGCAAAAACTGTATCAATGACCATGACACATCTGAAAGCCCTCACCTTTGTCAAAATAATTGAAAATGCTCAAACTGTTTAACTATCAACCACTAGAATAGCAAGGACAGTGAATAGAAATTAAAAGAAACTTACACTGGTTTTATGTAAGACAAAATCAGAAGCATATAATCAACAGAAAAATATCTCAAATGCTTTTAAACTATCAATTAAAATGGAAATTTAGCTTTTCAAGAAGCAACTTGACTTTTAAAGATTAAGAGAGCCAAGATTTAGCCCATTTAAACTGAAAGTGGTCTTGTGAAAGACAAACTTAGTCTAAGATGAACTTAGTTAACTGCCATACTTCCCCAAGAAGTGCTTTCTGCTGAAAATCAATGGTTTTTGCTATATTGCAGCAAAATAAAAGGGTTCTGTGAGGGAAAGCCAAAGTACAGAGCCCACAGTGTTGTTTGTGCACCAAATTCCTCTTTCTTTCCCCAAAGGATAAATTAAAGGTCGAAGAACTGTCGTACAAGTTGTGCAAGTAGAGCAGCAGGTCATTAACTGGGGGATTGGTTTTGGTACCATCCTGCCACCTCCAGCCCATGGATTTTAAACACACATCTCTCAAACAGGAGAATTCAAGTGCTAAGGCAACACTCACCAGTAATTCCCCCACTCAATCATCGTTCCGGGCTACGAAAACAAAACAGAAAGTTAAAACTGCACTTTCAAGAAAAGCCAGGACACTCTGACAGCTTTCACAACATTTATATATGGAAAACACTCTGCATTAACGAGATCACTTCCTTCCAGTGATAAGTGTGTTAGAATAATCTGTAATTACTCTGTTTACTGCCTGTATTCCCTCTTAGTCATCTGCCTGAAGTATCCAAACAAACCACAGGGTTTGCAGCCCTGCAGACACCAGCACCTTGCTGGAACCTGCCTTCACTTTGGACCCCACACTTTGAGAGCAGCAATGACTCAGACACCACCTTTGATAAGATCCAGATTTTTAAGATGGGGTCTGTTTTCCACCCGCGTCGTACAAACACCCTTTGAACGTCTTTACGACAGCACAGAGCTTAAAATGAAATAAAAATAAAAAATCTAAACTTACTCTGAGTTGATAGGATCTCAATTCATAAATATTAGGCCCATCTCTGGGAACGGGTTCATTCCAGAAACTGAACTCCAGCAGTAACTGGTTCTTGCGTGAGAGGAGCATGTTACCTCGTTCTTTGCGAAACTCCGTGAATTCCTAAAAGACAACCACGTCACCCCTGTCAGACTGGGGGTTGTTCCTCAACAACAAAAAGCAGTACAGCATAGGGTGGGGTAGATTTTTATTCTGGCTTTTTTAATGCTGTCACAGGGTTTTAGGACAGTGAAATTCCCCCGACACAGCTGAAAATTCCAAGTGTTGGCACAGCAATAAGTGTGTTCCATAAAGGTTCCATTCAGGTGCTGAACCTGAGTATTTCTCAATATGAAAGGAAAATCCTTTTCCAAAGAGGTTTCTGAACTTGCACAGGAAATGATGAGACACTGAAGTAGAAGCTGGTACACAAACCTGCAGGTTTTTTTGTTCTGTTCTTTGTTCTGAGTAAAATAATTGTAACAAAATCAGTGCTTTTTACCTTATTTTGACGAAGTTTACTCATGACCTCATTGAGAGCTGGATAACCTCCTTCATATCTCCACAAATGAACTGAAACAGAGAAAAGGAACCTTTTTCAGGGATGTCACAGACCAGTGCCAAACCTCATGGAAAAATCACAGTATAAAATGCTCTTCATAGTAGAGAATTACACAAAAATAGGAGTCAGGTAGCAGGCTTAAAACCAGATTTTCATTAATGAAAGTACTGCACATTGGAATATTTTAAGAATAATGGAATCATCTGCTTTTTGAAAAGGGTTCTCTTGGAAAATTTTGCAATTTACTCTGAAGATAACAGGGAAATTTCTGAAAGGGCTTTTTGTTGCCATGCTAGTAAGATGTGATGACTTGACATGACTGTTATTGAAATTAAGATTCAATTTAAGAGGATGGCTTAATTCCAAAAACGTGCTTTATACCAATTTCATCTAAGAGCAGTAGAGGGGCAGACTTTTCAGTTCAGTAAATTACTCCAGCACAAAAGCAACACACTTTCTGCAGGACATGAAAAACGATGCAAATGTTATTTTTGAGGTAAACATTAATAAAAGCAGAAGATAACTGAACATATTAGAACTGTTACATTTGCTAGGATTTTCCCCATAAAAACAATTTCAGAACATGTATCTACCCTGGGTTTTTTTCAGAGCATCCTGTCCTTAATAAATCAGAATATATCCCTTTAATAAATCGCAAAAGGATTTATTTACAAGCACTTAACAGAGCGAGGCAATAATTTCACCTCACAGAATCACAAGAGCTATTTTCTCTCCTCTAAAGTACTTCTGTGCCTTTTCCAGGAGAGCACAGGGGACTAATGTGAGGCTCTTCCCTGTGACAGCAGATTCACCCAGTGCTCCTGCTGCCTCACCCCCAGGGCAAATTTGATAGATCCACCTGATACTAACACAGCCTGGGCACAGGTACTGAACAAGTCACACCCCATAATCTGCTTTATTACACTGCTAGAACTGCTGCAATAACATTGCCAGGGCAGGCTGTGGATGCAATTACAGATACAGTCTGTGTTAATATGTTACAAAAGCAGCCACTCAGAAATCCCCAATTCAATTGTCTTCATTCCCCAATTCCCCTTCAGCTTCCAGAACTGTCTCTCAGACATTGTTTGGTTTATCTGCTGTTATTTCTCTGCTGTTATTTCCTTGCCTTTTTTTCCAGTGCCAATACTGCAGTATGCTGTGAATGCAGGGAAAATTAACGTGTGCATGAGTTAATTTTCCAATTACAAAGCACTGACACCGATCCTGGTGTAGCTCTAACTACAGAGCTACAGAACCTCTATATAATCTGTATTTGTGGTTTCCCACTCCTTCAATTTCCCAGGGTCTAGGACATTTTTCAGGTTTTCTCTCTGCACTAGACTTTTTGGAGTTACCTCTGCAGCAGCTCTTCAGTCATTTCTAGTTCCAATGTTTTCAATCTGCATAGTTAGGCAGTACCCTTGTATGAACATGAACAGAAATACTTTTAATTTTCCCCAGTAAAGCCCGAGTTTATTGCTAAACTTACAATGCAGTGATTTTTTTCAGATGGTTTGAATGACTTGCATTTCATTATCGTACAGCAATTACAGCATGAGAGCCTGAGTAAAGCTTGAGGGATAAATGAACTCCGGCTCTGCAAGCCTTTACCCTAAATATTCAGCAACACCATCTGTGCCCACGAGAAGGACCTCATTTTACAAGCATTTCCCCCCCCCCCCCAAAACCCGTTAATCTACCACCTGCAAAACATGAAAGTGCATTAACAACAGGACAAACTTTAGGGATTAAAGCTTCACCGTCAAAACTCAGCACGACAAAAAAGCAAGCCCCGCGAGCGTTACCACGGCCAGTGACTGACGCACCACCCCCTCGCTGAACACATCGCCACAGGTTTTTACTGTCAACAGAGATGATTTAAAGAGAAGAAACCTGCCAAGCACACGTTTCACTTGCATGGTTTTACATTCTGTTGTACTTCTAGCTCCTACCAGCCTGATCTTGCTCTCCGTACCACGTGTTCCAAGTCCCCACCAGTGCACATGGGTAGTGTTTTTCTTCATGAATCTTTGGCAGCACCTCTTGACTTGAAAACAAGGAATACAGACACTAGGTTGCATTGCCTTCAGGGAGGCTACAGTTGATATGTATAACAAATCACCACACAGCATTATGCTATGAAAATTCACAAGCTCTACGTTTCAGAGGGGAAAGCTGAAATCTGCTACCCAGGGGGGAAAGGTTGCTACAGCAGCGTGGAAAATTAAGGTCTGTTGTTACCATTAGACTGCAGGGCAAATACAAAGCATGGGAGGATTCTTTCGATGCAATAAATTATGTCTAGCACCTAAAAAGGTTAAACAACACATTAGGAAAACAAATATCGGGGTGTCTCGCTTACAGATAATGAATGCAGCCTAACTACATGGGTGATTTGCTTGAGGAAAAGCTTTTCTTTTTCAAGGGAGGCAGAATACACAAAATTAAGAAAGCAGAGTCTTCTGTACAATGCTATTAATTGCTGGGCTGAATGAATAAAAATGAGTATTTTGATAGATGTAGTGATGACTGTTACTCACAGCCTTATTGGTTTCTACTGTTTCAGAAAGTGGTCTTAGTTTGAGGCAACTTTCCCACCAATGCATGCAGTGAAACTGCCTTAAAAATGCCTCCAACACAACATTTCTGTTCTGACTATTTCCAGTATTTCTAACATTTTTTCAGACTTTAGAAGAGGCCTACATTAGCATAAGGAAATTAAGTTTTACTGATTGCTGACTTGGCCAAGACAGCCTTCACTGCACTGTGCTTTGATGAGTCAGTCAATTAGTCTGGTTCAACTTTGCCTTTTATATTTTTCCCTGAATAATTACCCTTCTTACTCAGTTTGGCTCATAAGCAACGAGTCTCTGCACAGTATCAAATAATAAAAAGTAGGCTGGTCTGGGGCTGGGAGTCATTAGATATGAGTTTTCCTCTTGATTCTGCCACTGACTTTGCAGACAACCTTGAGCAAATATCATTACTAATTTGTACTTCTATGTTTCTCACTACCCAGTGTAAATAATATGATAAAATGACTCTCCAAGGACATTTTCAAGGATGTTTGACCATTGGTTCATTTTTTCAGAGCAGCATGAGATCCTAGAAAGGCAGTTTTAAACAGGGATGATAAATTATTACATAACCCTATAATGTATTGTTGCAAATTATAGAAAAAAATGCCCTTAAAACACCATTAGGAACATTGTCTTTTCCTTTTCAGACAGAGATAACTGTCCCTAATTCTGCACAAAGGGTGCTTAACCAGAGTGATTCACAAAGTGCTCTTGTAATTATCCTCATTACATTGTTTTTTTATTAGTACATGATGACTAATCCTTAGTCTGATTTGATACAGAATTAACCTGTTCGTCTTTTATTTAGGGAGAGGAAGGAGGGAAATTCAGAGAGGTTTAGTTTTTGTCTTTTACTCCTCTCAACTTTTCTCCTTCCCTGGAATACTTAAAATTTGCTTTGGAAAGAATAAATCTAACCACACATGATTTCATCTACGTGCTGTCAGCAGCTTCTTTCTTTGCTATTGTCTCTTCCCTTGCAAATAGAAACCTCTGCTTTCACTCAACATTTAGGCAGCTCATGAAATAATGCAGAGAAGTGGTTCCCTACCTTGCATAATTGGACATGTTTATATTAAGCTTTTAAACAGAAAGCTGGTTGAATGCTAATTGTCCTTCCCTGGGTGTGTATTTATGTTAAACAACAATAACAAAAAGCTAAAAATACCTTGGTTGAGTATTATTCTAGCAGATTTCTGGAAAAGAGTTCTGGGTTATCCAGCCCCATTTCAAAGCTGAACAGATGAAGGTGATAGATGAGCCACTCATGGCTGTGCAGCCAACCAGTAACAGTGGGGGACATGAACTGGGAGCTGTGAACTTCTTCCCTCCCTCCAGCCCAGCTGGTGCTCACCAGCAACAATAAAAAAATTGGTTGCAGTGGGGTATCATTATGCTGGGAATGTTTTATTTAACTGACAGGTTGGCCACTGTCAGTGAGAAAGCACTGCAGAGTGTGAGGCTCACCACAATTCCAAATTTAAATATTCAGTTCTGTAAAGGCAGCTGTTCTGGCTCCAGAGGGGTGATTATGCAGGTAGAAGAGGACTAATATTTCTGCAGTTTCATCCTCAAAGTAGTAAGTTAAAAACATGATTATTATATGTTTATAAAGCTGTAACTTTTTGGAAAACCTGTAAGACTAACCCTCCCTTTGGAAGGAATCACCCCAATGTAAATACTCTACCCAAGGGTTTGTGTAACTCTTTAGGAGCAGATCTCAGTAATGGGACTTGTGGAAAAGGATATAAATGAGCTGAGAAAAAAAAAAATCAACCTTGTGGTTTTTAACATCTCCTCAAAATTGTATTTCACTTTAATCCTGGTGTGTAGTTTTACTTACAGGTGATCTCTCCCTTTCCTCCCTGCATGCAGACAATCATCATCCTCAAGACATTCCTACCAGGCAGCTGCAGTGGGACATGCTGTAACATTCCAGCTGCATGGATCAGTAATTTTGGGACCATTAAGGGAAGGGGGAAGAGCTGTTCCCACAGATGTCACCCAAGTTCTCACAACAGGCAACATCCTGAATTGCAGCTTAGGAAAACACCTCCATGAGGGAAGGGAGGGGCGAACTGAGCAAAGGAGCTTTTGCCATCTCTTTCCAAGAATAACATGATCTTTTTGATACCGAATCCTAAAAAAGCAGAGTTTTGCCACCTCCCCTCTAAATAACTACAATATCAGCCAATTTTCAGACCAGCTTGGGATCAAATCAACATGTCTAAAACGTGAAAACATAACACACACACTTACCAAAGCTTGTTGTAGGCCTCTAGACATTCTGGTTTTACATTGTGAACTGCAACAACAACAGGACGTGAGACGTGGGGGACCAGAATAAAGAACTGGTAACATCAAATACAAAACCACCACTCACACTGGAGTTTGTACAGACTGCTGGTCTCTTTTTTGGCCAAAAGGTTGGAGTGGGCATCTTTCCTCGGATCCACTTTGCGGACGAAGAGGGATTTTAACCAGCTGTCCTCGCGAGGTCTGTGAGCTGAGGATGCCAGTCCCCTGCACAGCAACAAGGAGGTTTTACTGGCACCAAGGAAACTCCCACCACAAAGGGAACACAGGCACATTCAAGTTTAATACAAACAGTACCATAACACACAGTTACATATATCTGCTACTAAAAATTCCCACTTTTTTTTTTTTTTTTTTTTTTAATCCTAGCAAGGGAAAGGCTGTTCATTCCCCACTCAGAGTTACCCTCTCCCAACCCATTTCACCAGTTAACCACACATTATCCATGTTTATTCTCTCTGCACAGGACAGGGAATGGTTGCTTTTCCTCCCTCTTTATCTCCTTTTAAATCCTTTCTTAGCTCAGGGCTGGGCCTGCCGTGATGGAGACAGACAGGAGTGAAAAAGAGCAAAAAAAACCACGCATAAGGAAAACTGTGTACAGTGTAAATAGGAAGGAAACTGCCATATGTTCTTGTGTTGCTTAAATACAGCTCAACAAAAGGAAAAGTTAAATGGCACGTCTTTCAGTAGTAAAAAAAAAAAAAAATAGCATGAAAGTCTAATTTGGGAGGAAAAAAAAAAAAAGCAAGTGGCAGGAAGCAAACAGCCTGCAAATGCTTCAGTTCCAAATTCTGGCAGCTGCACCACGTAGAGGTACCAGATCCATGCTCTTTGCACAACATTCACGTTTCGCTTTCTTTGAAACAGAAGAATTTCACTGTCTTTTTTTTGTCTAATCTTTATTCAGTTTCTGCAAGTACTCTTTCAAAATAATATCAGCTCCCTTTACATCTCAGAGCACACAAAACAACTGATAACTGTAATTTTTTGAGATGATGTGCTAAAGGACATTATTCTTCTCTTTTTCAGCTCAAGAGCCCTCAATCACCAAAAACTGTGCAGAAGGACAAGAAATCTGATATATTTAATCGATTCTCTACAATGTCTGACAGGAGGGACCCCAAGCTCAAATGTTCTTTTCTTCCATCTCATAAAATCACTTCATTCAATTTACCTTTCTTTGATAGCCCCACACCAGCCACTGTGGGGAAATCTAATTCCAACTCAATCTTCTCCTGAAACACTAAAATATTTCTCTGACAAACTAAAAATGTGGTATTTATACCACATATATTTATTCATAAGCTGGAAATGTAAACCTTTTCCTGCCTCAGATGTCAACTTTTCACCCTTAATTACTGATTAGGAGAGCCAGAAGACAGCTATCAACCTTCAACCCAAAGCTGTCTTCCACATATCAAAAGTTTGTGACAATCACTCAAACTGAAAAAAAAAAAAAAATAGGGAAGAAAAATCTCAGTTTCCTTTGGGAAAAATATCCTCATGGACACGCCTGTCTGCATTGCACAAAAGTAGTTCACACTAGCAGTGTTTTCCAACAATCAACCTTTTAATCCCAGTGTCTGAAAATAACCCAGTGAACTGGTTCACCCCGTTAGCAGGATGGAGGAAAGGAAAAGTATTCCACAGCAGAGAAACCACCACCAGAGAAGAACAACTGCAGCTGAGATGACCTTCAGCGTTAAAGGAGGAGTCTGCAAACACCTTATTGGTGTATTTATTGAAAATGGTGCCTTCCCTGGCCCTGGGCAAACACACAAACATGTGGCTGTGCTGAAAGCCAAGCAGCTATTCCTGAGTGCAGGCATTTGAAGGGCATTCCATGATAAGGCTGTTGCTGGAGTGGAGCTATCTCTGATCTCAGCTGGAGCAGGCGAGGCACAGGTGACTGCAGTTGTGTTGTCACATCAAGTGCCACAGCAACACGAGCTGTCCCAGAGGATGGGGGGGTAAAACCCACCTAATAAATCTGAGTGGTTTTAAAAAGCTCCCTTAAAGTAAGCACTAAATGCTCAGTGGACACCAGAGACAGGACTCAATCCCACTCAATTTTCAGCTCAGACATCTAAAGCATCATCGTTTCCTCACCTTTATTAAAGAGAATTAGCAGACTAATAATCCTCTTCTGTGAGGATTATTTGTTTGCAGCAAACTTGAAGAGATAAATAATCACAATGCTTTTCCTGTGAACCAGCTTTATCCACAGTAAGAGTAAGCTGGAGTTACAGGGATAACACTAAGAAGCAAAAAGCAAATTCCTTTGCTATTAGGAGAATCTCAGGACTTGAATGTTAAACTGCACCTAAAACTGGAGGGATAGTTAATTATAATACAATGAAATGAGTAATATTTTACATTTATGTAAAATCTTTCACCCAGCAACTGTAAAGTTCCCCATGAGCATTGACTAACAAATCACAACTATCCACCTAAATATATACCTTAGTTAGAATGAAGGCAGGAGCTAAGTTTACTAAAGCAGATATTCACTGCACCCACCCTGAGATGCAAGGGCCTGATTTTTAATCAGTATCCTCAGAGAAGCCCTAAAATACCCTTGTCATTCCAGACACTCACAAATCAAGAAGTCCTGATTACTGGTTCACTTGTGTGGGCAGAATGTACCCAAAATTAGCTCTGGAAGAGAAGGGACTGAATTAATGTCTTTGGACTGTCAGTTGTGAGCATCAGCTTGACTCTGGTGGTTCTTATCCTACAAATATTAACTATGAGCTTAGCTTTCTTGCTACAAAGACTGGGCTGTGAACATAAAAGGACAACACTGAATAGTTTGCTTAGATTAGATTAAAAATGTCAGTGGAAACACTTCTATCCCACTTAGCTTCTGCTTCAGCACAAAATATAACCTGGGTGGGAGACATCGGGTCAAATATTTACATTTTGTAGTAACCCATGTCTGCCTGGAGGAGAAAGAAAACAACCTGTCCTCAGTTTGGCAGTTCTTGATCTGTGATCTAAACAAAGTTTATTTGAAACTGAAATAACCCCAAAACATGCACATAAAACCTCCACAAAATATATACTTCCCAGAGCCCTCCCTGTTCCTGTGTTAAGCAGCTGCTTGCAGGGATGCTTTTGGTCTTGCATATGCAAATCTCTGCCCATTCTGAGGCTTGAGGCAGCAGCTTTCCCTGTTTCAAAGAAAGGGAGGAAAAAAACGTGTAGATGCATCCCATCTTGGGAACTCAGGCACTTCTGTGTCTCCAGCATCCTGGGAGCTTCCTACACCCAAGAGGTGCCCCAGGAGCTCTGCGTGCATCTGCACCTTGTGCCTGACCCTGCACACATCAGAAGTGGCCACGCAAATCTCTGCACCCCAAAACCTGAGGGATGTGCCTGTGTGTGTGCCCTGACATCAGGGGGGGTGCACACACATCCCATCTCCCAAGGGAAGCATGGATACACGTGCCCTGGCTCCCAAGGGGGGCACACACACAAGCAGGGTGCGTGTGTGGCTGTGCACCAAGGCAGGAAGATGTTGGGGTGCACAGTCCTGCACCCCCACACTGGGAAAACGTGGATGTTGGGCAGGGGTGCAGCAGCTGCGCCTCCCGACGGGAGATGCTGCTGGTTGTGCACCCTGTTGCTCGGAGCAGTCGGGACACGGAGCAGCTACACGACCCAATTCCGGAGGGGTGCGGAGCATCCAGACGCTTCAACCCCAGGAATACACGAGTGCAGGGCGGCTGAGCACCCCGAAACACGGAGGTACGGGATGGTGGGGTGCCTGTGCTCCCTGCTGTGTGCAGGGGAGGAGTGTCCAAGCAGGGGAAAGGGTGGGCGGAGGGGAAGGACGGCAGTTCATGGGTGGGGTGTCAGTGCAGGGGTGAGCTGTCCGTGCAGGGGAAGGGTGTCCATGCAGGGAAGGGGAGGCCGGTGCAGCGGTGAGGTGTCAGTGCCAGGCTGAAGTGCCCGTGCCGGTGCAGGGGTGAGGTGTCGGTGCAGGGAAGGGGTGCCGGTGCATCCTGAGCCAGGGCTCCGGGGGCGGCGGGTGCCCCGTCCCCGGCGGGTCAGCGGCGCGGCCATCCTCCCACCCAGGGGCGGACTCGGGGGAGGGAAAGAAGGGGCCGGCCTTGCGGCCCGTGACCTTGAGGGACACCCCGCCGAGCCGCACTCCCCGCCCCAGGCCCGGCCGCTGCCCCACGACCGGGGCGCCATTTCCAGCCGGGGAAGGGGAGCGGCGCGGGCGGAGAGTGTGTGGGGGGGGAGCTCTGCGCGGGCGGCCCCGGCTCCCCCGCCCAGCCTCCCGCGGCGGCCCCGTCCCGCCCGCTCGGCCCCTCGGGGCTCACCTGAGGGCCAGCCCGCCGCCGGGCGGCAGGCGCGGCACGGCGGCCGCTCCCGCCAGGCTCCGCCGCAGCAGCACTCGCGCCGCCATCTTGCTCCGGCCGCCTCCCTGCTGGGCCGGGGGCTGCGGCCACGCCCCCTGGCGGGGACCCGCCTGTGCGCATGCGCGGCTGCCCCGCGCGGGGACCCCTCACGGCCCCTCAGCCCTGGGGGACCCGCAGCGGGTTAGGGGGAGTCACAGATTAGTGTGGGGGGCCCAGCCCCGCTCTGAGCGTCCCCTCCTGCCTCGAGGGAAACCCAAGCCCCCTGTCTGGGGGAAGGCCAGGCCCCTGTTTGTTTAGGGGGGATCCAGACTAGTTGTGTGTGTGTGTGGTGGGGAAGGCCTCCCAACGCCCTATTGAGGTGACCCCAGCCCCGATTTTGGGGGGTTACCCAGCCCCAGCTTCGGGATGACCACTGGCCCCGGTTTGGGGGGTTATCCAGCCCCAGTCTGGGGGTTACCCCTCATCCCGGACTGTGGGCGTGAGCCCCAGCCCCCATTTAGGGGTGACCACTTTAGGGTCTCACCTCATAACCACTAAGAGCGAGCCCAGGCGTTTTTTGAATCCTGTGCAAAATCTTGTTCCTCATTCTCCTGCTATGTTTTCTCCCAACGTGCAGTTGAAGGGTTTTCTTCACAGTTCAGCCACAGTCGGGGATAATTTGGTTGAACAGGTGGCGTGTGATGGCATCGAATCCTTAAGTAACTTGAAATTAAGGATAAACTGATAACTAGGCTAATACTTAAAGGGCAGTTCTAAAAGCAACAAGCCATTAAACATAGAAAAGTCAATGAGTAATCCTTATCTTTCCACATAGCACCTATAACATTTCTGTCACATTGCTGCACTTTCCCTTGCCATTTTATGATTTCCTCTATCAGCACTCTTGTGAGAGTAATCCCAAAGATAACACCTAAAATGTGCTTTAACATCACTAAAGTACAGTTGTTGTGGTGCCTCTTCAAAAGAGTTTAACCTACAATTGCCATCACTCTATTAAATAACAGTCTGAAACGTAATTTGTTTTTAGTCACATTTTGATCTGACAGCATGTTGAGTTCTTGAGCAACCCTCCCAGAGCCCACCTGTACACTGGAAAAACTGATAACCTTCTGTGATGAACCAATCTTAGGAAAAAAATCTGGCATTTTCACAGCTACTCAAGAGAAATCACAGGAGATAAATTATTTACTTCCCTAATTAGATGTAGATGCAACTACAACCAAACAGGAAACTCTTCCTATTTCTTATAAATATTATGTCTAGTTATTAGAACACTCATTTTGCGTGTACTGAGGATCAAGTTTCTTTACTCCCTTCTTAGACACAACTTCAGTGTATTTGCTACAGCCCAGGGCCATGTTCTGACCTGGGTCTGATATCTCTCAATCTCTGCTTGGATGAAGTTTCACGTTTTACATTCACCTGGACAGGAGTCAAAGCCCAGGTTTCCTCCCCTTGGCTGAGGGCCTCCATCAACCAGCTACAGTTACTGAGTAATTTACATAACCCTAAACCTCTGCAGCAAACATCACCAAGAATAACCTACAGCCACCTGCTTAAGGCACCTCCTCAAACTCAGGGACCGTGGTCACATTATTTTACACAGAGATATTTCAGTCAAGGTGTCTTGACATCCCATCCCACTGACCTGACACACAGGACAGCACGCGAGGACAAGCATTCAAAGAGCAGCATTTTTTGGTTTGGAGCACTGAAGGAATTTTAAGTTTTTCATTCTTCCTGTCCCAAATAATTTGCTGAGTAAAATCAGACTTTTTTTAGTGGTTTGTGGGCGGACAAAACTGATTTTGTGCAGGTGCAGGAAGCTAAAGGGCAAATGATTTACACACTGGAAGAGAACAACTAGCAGCTACTAGTACAAGATGGCTCAGTTTCTTTAAGGAAATTATTTTAAATCAGAGGAACTCTGCTCAGTTACACCTTGTTTAGCTTCTGATCTTAAACAAAAACCAATGACAGAGGCAGGCACTCCAAAAAGCTTTCTCAAAACTTTCATACCCCACACTCCTCTCCCACAGCTGCCGGGTTGTGAGGCAGATGCTCCTTTAGATCCAAAGGAAGAGTCAGGAACACAAGGCTGCTGCAACAGCTGCACAATCTCAGCTTGCTTTTTGTCCTGGAAGGCAGGACACAATATCCCCAGAGCTCTATCAGGATAAAGTCATCTTTTATCATTAACTGCTATGGCCTTCCAGCTCCATATTAAAGCATGCAGCAAATCAGCACCTGTATCTCCCCAAAATGTGTTGCTTTAATTCGCTTTTCTGATGGGACTAAATCTAACCATCTTTACTTTTACTTTTTTGGCTTTGTATTCTCATCAGCTTCTCTGTCCTGCTGGCAGTTCAAAGAGATCCAGCTCTCCCAGAACTAAATACTCCCTTTGGACAAGTTACCAAGCCAACCATTCTGAGCTGCCCAAAGGTGTTCTTCTCACCTTACTGCCACTATAAAGGCAAGGGGCTGTGGTTTTGTTAGAGATTTTGGAAGTCAGAAGGCACTGCAGTGTGGGATGAGTGACTGTAAGTGGAAATAAGGACACAGGCATGGAGCTGGTTTTAAAATTCTGCACTTCCTTTCAAAAGCTTTAATAGCATTATCTCCAGTAATCCTACAAACCACAAAAGACTGTCTGAAATACAGAGCAATCAAGTACTATAATGGCCCTCCCACCAAAATGAAACATCATACAGTTGTATTTTCTTTTCTCAACACAGAAGAGTCATTCCAGGAGGGCAGCTGGCTTTGGGAACTGTCACTGCTTGTGGCAAAACTACAGGCAATAAAATGAAGTGATAACACTAAACTTGCATTTCCTCTACATTTTCATTCAAAGCTCTGGAGTGCTCATCAGTCTGTACCATCTCCTCATATAAGCAACTACATTTACTATTTATTTTGACTACAGATTTCACTGAAACATTTAACATACCACAGCAGGGCCTCAAACACCCCTGACAGAGAGAGGCAAAGCTGGAAGATCTTTGCTTAAATATTTCACCCGCTATTTGTCTGTTGAACATACTTTCAGTTCCTGAAGTTTTTCACTTAGATAGGTAGTATCTGCCTCTGTCAGGTTTTCCGAATCTGACAGATTCTCCAGGAATCTGGTTCCTGCGCAGGGTTTCCCTGTGATTGGATCTATGACATTTCCAACCTTGAACACAATTTCAGCCAGTTCGTGTTTCACGTGTTTGCTCCTTCGCTCAGGCAGAGCTTTCAGCAGAACAATGTCTCCAACAACACACTGCTGCAGGGGATCGTGGGCAAAATAGGTTTTTCTTTTGTTAAAGAACTGTAAAAGAAGAAGAAAGAAAAAAAAAAAGAAACCCTGGCATTAGATTTCAAAGTTTCTTGCTCAATTCGTTTTCCTTCACGTAAAAATCTAGTATTTGTTCCTAGTGGTACAGCAGAATTTAGAATCTTTTAAGAAATAAATTAACAGGTTCTTCTGCTGGATAAAATATTGAAATGGGTTCCACAGGACCCATTATCCAATATTGACTCTATCCTTAACCTTCTGCTCAAAGGCAAGTTATTCCACCTCCACATACCACAGTTTCCACATATAAAAACTGAGAAAATATTATTTTAAGCTACTTGTTTGAAGTGCATTGACAAGGGATAAATGCAAACTTGTACAGCACATCACAGCACAGATGCAAACACTAAGCAGTGTTACAATTATGCATACAGAAAAACAGCTATAAAACTTACTGTAAAAGTGACTAATATAGTGTCAAGTTTCCAAAGCATATTCCACATCAACATGAAAAATTAAACCTAAGTGTGAAACAACAAAAACTTACCTTCTCAGCCGAGATCAAATGAGCTGCACTAACAAGGCACTTCAAAGAAATACATTTAGCAGACAATTTGTAAGTCCTCACCACACAGTGCTTTTCATCCTTTGCAGTCAACCCCACAGCCAAATCCTCATGCGAGGTCCTTAAGGAGTTTGCAATTGCAGAGTCATCAAAAATTCCAGGAGTCGAATCACAGAACATTCCTCCACACAACACAAAACCCACAAGTTGTTAACCAGCTGCTATTACCTTCAGTAAGTAGGGATCCAGCACAAGCCTTGTCACTCTCACTTTGGCAGTTTTCTGCATTTTGGTTCCTATTACTTTCCCTACTATCCATTTTGCATGGACAGCTCCACGTGGGACAGACATTGTTTAGTTATGGTCATCCAGTGCCTGGCAACAAGCAAGCAGAGGTGCTATTTTAACAAAATAAAAAAAAATCACCGGTTCCTGGTCAATACCAACATTTTCCTATTTCAGACTCACGGCTTAATCAGGTAATTTTGTTGGAAAGGGGTAAATACAAACAGTTCCAAACTCCACATATTGCACCACCTCAGCCCGGGTTAACAATATGAGGGATGTGAACATGTCCTCACTGCCAGGGAAAGTGACTTCAGGACAGCAGTAAAAATGGACATAACACCATAAGGATGAGACCTTATCCCAAAGCCCACAAAATTCCTTTGAATCACACCAGTTCTCACACATGACAGAAATGTGGAAGTTATTAATGTAACTCACACTCCAGCAGCTGTCTTGGCTGCTAACCTGTTCATCAGGTCCATGGGTGACCACAGAGCACCCAAACAGGGTTGTTCAGAGTCATCTGCTGCTGTGCATCTCATTATCAGCTGAGCTGATGAAACCTAAGAAAGGTAATGAGCTTCTCAAGCCATAAGTGACATATCAAAGAGCTGCCTGACTTGCAGTAAGTGTAATCACTTCTGAGTTAGTTCTTCCCTGCAAGTAATTATACTCCACTACCTTATTTTAATTAGGGAGAGCTTTCTGTGCCACTCTTGCAAGAGTCAGAGGCAAAAATCAATAGCTAAACACAGGAAGACCTGAGCCAACATTAAACACTGACGAAGACCAGTGACCTTTTCCTCTCCCACTCAAACATAGGTCGTTAAACACAAGCGACACTTGTGAATTCTCCATCCGCAGGTGGATTCCCCCGCCGCAACTTGCAAGGCGCTTTCTTTGATGTTGCAACACACCCGAAGAAGAAGAGTTTAGGGACACAGGGGGCACACAGGGTGAAAACCCAGCAGCGATACCTGGGGCTGCTCTCACCACCCCTGACCCCGCTGCGCGCCCATAGGGCTGGCGGGGGGTGTTAGCACGGGGCTCTCCCGTCCCCCAGAGCTAAACACCACAGTTAGGCACGGGCAGCACCCCTGGAGCACCGGGAGCTACCGGGATAAACCAGCAAATTCAAGCAGAGTGGGAGCTTTCAGGCCCCCGCCTTCCCCAAGGCCTCACAGCGCTCCACGAAAGGCCCTGCCCCGCCAGCGCGGCCAGGAGGCCTCGCAGACAGCGGGGCTCGGCTCAGCGGCTCGGAGAGCTGCTCCAGCCAGAGGAAACCCCCCCCAAAATCGCGGTGGCAATGCCCATCCCCTCTCACCGGCACCGCCGCCACCGCCGCGCCTCGGGGGCCTTAAAGGGACGGGCCCGGAACGGGCGGGGCCGGGCACGGAAGCGCCGCGCGGCAAAGGGGCGGGGCCAGAGGCGAGAGGGGCGGGGCCAGCTGTGGGTGGGGCCTGCCGGGGTATTTAAAGGCACAGGCGCCACGTCCGCCTCCCTCAGGGGCGCTGAGGGGAAAGTGTTAAGAAGTCAGCGAATCATCAACGCTGAAAGAGACTTTTAAGGTCTCTTTAGACAGGGCGGTGAGGATGGTGAAGGGTCTGGAGGGGAAGCCTTATGAGGAGCGCTTGCTTTGTACAGCCTGGAGAAGAGGAGGCTGAGGGGAGGCTTCGCTGGGGTCTTGGACATCCTCATGCAGGAAAGCGGAGGGGCAGGTGCCCAACTCTGCTCTCTGTGACCAGTGACAGGGCTCAAGAGAACAGCGGGAAGCTGAGTCAGGGGAGAGGTGTAGGTTGGATGTCAGGAAAAGGTTTTTTAGCCAAAGGGTGGTCGGGCACCGAACAGACTCCCCAGGGCAGTGGCTGCACCATCAAGGCTGGCAGAGCTCAAGGAGTGTTTGGACAAAACTCTCAGGTACACAGTGGGATTGTTGGGGTGCGATGAGCAGGATTAGGAGTTGGACTCGATGATCCTGATGGGTCCCTTCTGGCTTGGTATTCCATGATTCTTACGATAGTCCAGTCGAACCATCAACCCAGTGTAACCCCTAAACCACATCACCCAGCCCCAGGTCCAGACGCCTCTTGAACACCTCCAGGGATGGTGACTCCACCGCCTCTCTGGGCAACTATTTCAATGCCTGACCACCCTAACAGTGAAAAAAAAGTTCTCATATCTAATCTGAATCTCCCCTGTCTCAGCTTAAGGCTGTTTCCTCTTATCTTCTCACTGCATGGTAGAAGAGACCCCACAGCCTGCAGCAGGCAGGTGTTGGGCTGGAGGTGATGAGGGATGAATGCTGAGGGGCCCCTTTACACTGAATTTCGAGGATGGACTTGACTATGAGTGCTGCCTCTGTGGCACTGAAGTGTCCACACAAGAACAATTTTGTGCTCTTCCACCTGCTGTTAACTGATGTACGTGAGCCAAATCTTGAAGGTTTTCCATGTAAATCTGGAGTAATTGTAGCCCATACAAAGTAAGAGCTGGCCTGTTGTCCTTGCTATCCCTAACCTGGAAGATATTTAGTTTCTGTAAATCTGTATACAAAACGGAGGGCTGGGAGGAAAAAAACAACAACCGAACCACTTATAAACTGAATAATGGCCTTTGAGATAATGTGCTCCCAGTCTCTGTCCCTCTGACTTTAGGCTGGGGTCATCCCTTTTTTTATTTAAATGTGTTCATTTCTCATTTTCTGCCGGTATTTTGGCAGCTGCCCAGTTTTCAGGCTTGTTCTCTTTCGGTGTTAGTGTCCCATCATCTCTCACCACAGGAAGAGGGCAGGTAGGGAATCCTATTTATTTAACAGGACAATTCTGCACAGCTTCCCTTCTAAAGGTGGCCGGTGTGGGGAGAACAGGCTGCTCTTTGTACAGCTGGAGACACTGTTGAAATAGTTCGATCAGATACCGCCAAAGGAGTTATTTGGAAGTTCATTATCAGCTCTTACAGATACCCAAGTCAAGACTCGTGGGCTTCTCTTTATTTTAGTGCCTTGTTACTTGAATTACAGTGGAGAGGAGCTGGGAGGAGCCTCGTTGGTGCAGGCAGGAAAAGGTTAAGAGCCGTTTGTATCACCTGGGAAAGCAATTCTTTGATTTTTCAGAGGGCGCTAACATGCTGCAGCTCAGGGAAACAAAGGAAAGGGGATCAAGCATAAAAGTTGTTCTGGGATTTTATTCTCAGTGGCAGAACTTGTGAGGGCTGGATATTGATGTCTGCTGGAAAACACGGAGTTTTGGATCAAAAAGAATTTTTTTCTCCTTTATTCAAACAGTGATCTGTGAGGTAAGTCTTGATTCCAACTGGTGACTTTAGATAACTTCTTTTTACATTGAGGGGTAAGAAAACCCTTTATCTTGCTGATCCATTTTAAAACAGTGAATTCTTTGCCTAAATTGTTCCTTGGGCAGGGAGCACAGGCAGGAGTGTGAGTCAACAACTGTAAAAAGCCCACAACGCTTTCCTGTGCTGTCTGCATTCAAATTGCTTGCATTAATTTCCGAGCTAAAGTATGGAAATTCAGGAACTGGGAGAAGCATAATGAGTCAGGGGAATTTGCGACTCAGAGTTGCAGTAAATATTTCAGTGATGACAGGAGTCTTTCGAACTGTAGTAGTGTCTGTGTTAATGTGCTTTTGCAGCTGATGCTTCAAGCATCTTCTGGTGGTGGCTCTTGAAGTACTTCCCAAGCCTTGTCTCCTTCGTCCTCACTGCACTCCCAAGGGTTTTGTATTTCCAGCTCCTGTAAGGACTTTGGTGGCAGCTGGTTCAGTTGCTGCCCCTGTGCCTGTGCTGATCCTTAAGGGCAGATTGCTTTTGGGGGTGTAAGAGAGGGGTCTCAATTGCCATTAATTCCTTGTCTATGTGCAGCTGAGACTGAGGAGTTCTCACCTTAAAAACTGCTGCTGATTTTTGTGTGTGTGTGTGAAAACAACTGCTTTTTCACAGCAGTACATCTGACCAAAGTGTGATGGGTGGGAACAGTTCACACACAGTTGTCACTGAGAGCAAGTGCCCTGTGAAGGGAAGTTTTTATATCCGGTGGAGAGCCCTGCAGAAACGATCCATTCACCTTGGAAATACTAAACTGGAAATAAAACGTACTCCCAGCTCTTGGGCGGGTTAACTGCAGCTTGTTCCTTGAGGTATTTCTCTGTGGCTGTCTCTAAGGTACCGAATTCTGGCGGAGTTATTGAACATTGGGGAAGGGGGGAAATGCTGATTTAATGTGGTGTTTTTTGGTTTTTTTTTTCTGCTTGCAATTGTCAGTGAATGCTGTAAGTCAGTGGTATCTGATGTGAGGGTTATTTCCCACTGGGATAGAAGTGCAGCACTGTGGTGTAACTCGCTGCCCACCTGGTGCTGTGATACAGATAAGCATCAGTCCCTGCAAGAGTTGCCTTGCCAGTTCTTCCTGCTCTTCCCTGCTGTTCCCAGTTTCCCTCACACCCCAACATTTTGCTCAGGCCCTGGTTTCTCGCTGTCCATGAGGGACAAGACTGTAATCCAGCCAGAGCTGGTGGATGTCACTTCTTTCATCTTGGACACGAACACGCTGGAAGGCAGAGCCGGGGCTGTTCGGTTCCTGCACATTTTGTTCCTCATCGCTGCCTTTCCGCTCCCCTCATCACACAGAGCTTTTATCATCTCCCTGTTGGTGTCCACAAAGTGCAGGAGGAGCTGTGGATGTTCACAGCTTCTGAGCTGTCTGTTCCCAGATTCTGGCTGGACAGGAGTCTTTTATCACCCTGTCCTATTTTGGATTAATATGTTCTTTGGAAGGGTTATGGACGTGCTGTGATTTATCACATTCTGCTGCTTCTGAGTCTCCAGCCTGGATCCCTGTGGCAAGTGCAGAAATAAATCCCTGGAGCCTGGTGTCAGAAACTCTATCTTGAAGCACACTGCACATGATTCACAGTTAAATGCTGTTGTTAGCAGGGATTGCTTTTGCATTAAACAAAAGATTGCAAACCCAGATTGTCTTATTTGGCAAGATTTGTCTTATTTGAAGAAGTTATTTTTCTAAAAACTGGCCTGTTAAGTGCTTTTGCTTCTGTTGTGAATATCTGACATTCATTTAAGCTGCTCAGTGTGAATACCATTTCCAATTTCTTTACTGGTGCTATTGATTAAAATGCAGTTTACTTTTCTGGGGAAAATTTGATATTCAAAAATGTCTTTTCACTGTGAGTCAGAATGTACTTTTCCATGGAATAAAAATTCTGGAAAGAAAAAAAAAACCCAGCTATTGGAAATGTTGAACAAATTATATTGTCATTTCAACCAGGTTATATAAGAAAAATGAAAGAACTTCAAAGTAAAAATGAAGGGCACTGGTATTTTTTTCATATTTTGAGAAAATTAGTACATTTCTTTGCAGTTGTTACATTTTATCTGTTCAGAGTTTTCCATATGAAACTCTCAGAATGTTCTGTACTGGCCCTAACCCCAAGATCCTGTTTAATTCAGTTGGCTGTTTCGAGTTACATATTAAAAATGAATTATGAACCTTTTTTTCTCCTTTGCCTTCAGCCACTGGTGCTTCTTTAGAACTAACAGAAGAAGGGGCTGTTTCCAGTGTTGTATAGAAGTCTGTAGTACTCATGCTATACATGCTGCATCCCATGGGACAATTATTCACAGTAAGCCTCTGCTTTTGAAGAAAACTAGACAGAAAACACCTTTGGAATGCAACAGATTAAAATTTAATTTTCCTGTGAGCTGTGTTGCATCTTGCAGATTAGAGATCAAACAGTTACTGGGGTAATTCCTGCTGGTTTGGGTGCCCTCACATGATGCTCTTAGTGTCAGTATTGCTGTGGTCACATTACCACACCTCTGTGGCCAGTTTTTGGTTTTTAATATTCCTTACCCTTTAATTGAAAGCACTTTTCTGTGCTAAGAAGAAAGGAGCTGAGCTGTGCTCAGCTGTGCTGCTCTGGGGTGTTGCCTAAATTGTAGAGGAAACAAACTCTGTGGCAAAGGTCTGCTTTTCACTTGTTTAAATAAACAATCCCTGAGGAGAAAGGGGGTACCCTGGGGCTGATGGGATTTGGGTTGAGGATATGCCCACCCCTGGAGCACCCTGGGTTACAGTGACTCTTGGTATGAACTGGCCTCTCCTTGGACTGGAGGTGGGCACTGGCAGAAGGATCAACTTGAGGGGAATACTTTGAGGGTTGTAGGTCCCTCCAGTCTTCAGAAGGGAGCAGATGCTGTCACACTGTTTTGGATAGAAATGCAATTCTATGATTTTCCAGCATCATAATAGTCTTGTTATTCTTGATTTTTTTTTTTTTTCCCCTCAGTGTGCAACCTGTCTGCAACTTAATGAAGCCCATTATTCCTTGTCCCAACCCCTGTGGTCATGAAGAGCAGACACTATAATGTCTCACCACACCTG